TGTTTTTCTTGAGGCTTGGAGGAGGGATACGGGTTCTGTGTCACTTGTAAGGTTTGCTGCCTCAATCCAGCTATTGGGAAAGCTGGACTCCTACCTCGGTTGTGCTCTTGCACGTTTCTGTTCCCACCCTGAGCAGGGATGAGAGCCCTGAACCCTCCCAGACCTCCCATCTCCCTGATGTACACCTGTGCCTTCTGCAGGTCAAAGCTGTGCCCTTGCAGTCAGTCCTGCCCATAGGCAAACACCTCAGGAGGCTTTTGGCAGATCAGGTTTCCCAGTGCAGACCTGAAGTGCGGGGATGACATTTACTTTCCAGCAGCAGCCGTGCCCTGAGGGTGTCTCCTGACACCGGAATTTCGTAAATCACAGCCTGAGCTTTCCTCTCTGCTGGCAGGGTGTGGGTGAGGCTGGACATCACCCGCACACACAAATAGCTTCACCTGGCAGAAAGGTCGCTGGCAGGGAGAACAAGAGCCTGTTTGTTCCCCTGGCCCCCATCAGAGAACAAACTTGTTTGTCCTCAGGTCTTGGCTGTGCTCAGGGAGTGGAGGGACAGAGAGCAGCAGGTGCTCACAGCCCCTGTTCCCTGCTCAGCCCTGGCTTAAGGACAGCCTCAAAATTGAGTCCCATCACTGCCTACACTCCCCTGCCCGAATTTGCTCCCTTCTCCAAACTTTTGAAGCAGCTTGGGCAGAGCAGTCAGGCTTTTCCCACTGCCAGAGCTGGCCATGGTGTATCATGTCCTCTCCCAGAACGCCTCAAGCTCTGCAGTCTGTGTTCCCTCTGCATGTCCTGGTGCTGGTGGAGGGAAGGATGGATGTTTTCCCTGATGTAAGCCTGTAAGCACAGTTTGCTTTAGGTCAGCTGGAGCTCACTCTGCTGAAGGGATGGCAGGTGACAAGGCATTGCCTCTGAGTGATGCCAGCAGCCTGCCAGGCTGTGCCTGGGGAAATGCTTTCCTCCTCTTTTCTCGTGGCTTTTCACTTCAGCAGACAGGCTCCATGTGCCTGCCAGCCCATTCCCCCAGGCCTCCTCCTCCTCCCTGCTCTGGGACTGCTGTGGGCTGGGGGTTCAGGGAGTTTTCCTTCAGCAGTCTTTCATCACCATTTCTGAAGCCAGCTCTTTGCACAGAGCTTTGGGATTTAATGCAACATAAAGAGCTTTCAAAACTGTTTTCCACTTCTAAAACCAGTTCTACAGTTCACTCCTTTCTGAAACTGGCAGTGGTTGGGTTCTGGCAGGGCAGGCTCCTCTGCAGGTGATGGTGAACTCTGTGCTGTGCTGGAAATGCAATGAGCTCTCCATTGCCATTCCTTGGTGCACCCCCAAGCTGCTCTGCAGTCCCCCCGGGTTGGCATTGTGTGTCCCCAGCCTCCCTCCTTGTCTGTGTGCCTCCCTGGAGCACTCCTGGGCTGTGACCTGCATGGCAATGACAGAGGTGGTGAGTGGCAGCTCCGAGCCGTGGGGTTTGTGAATTCAGAGGGTATCTCACAGTCTGTCACAGGCACTGCTGCTCTCTGGGGCCCAGCAGTCCTGCAGCTTTCCCTCCTCCCTTGTGAGCAATTTATTTCCTTTACTGACAGACAACTATTGACTTCTCATTCTCCTGAAGATGAGATGTCTTGTCTCATCAGGTTTAAATTAGTTTTATCTTTAGCCTTTCCTATTAATAAGCTCTCATTGCGGTGTCATTACTTGATATCTATTTTCTGATGTTTTTCATTAATGGCTCTATATCTTCCAGATATTTTTTTTCAAGTGTTTTTCCCCTGCTGCTGAGTTATTTAACAGTCAGACACAGATCAGAGACATGAAGATGGTCTGATGCTGCTCAGGGACAGCGTGGAATGGCTCAGCACCACTCAGTGTGCAGGGCAGGGCACTGGGACTGTGGTGGGGCAGCAGTGGGGCAGCACTGGGCTGTCAGGAGTGGTCATGCATTCCCTCCCTGTCTCTCTGCATCCCTCTGATCCCAGCCTGAGCTCTGACACGCCTGGGGCTCTCAGGAGCACGAGTCAATAGAGTAATTAAAATGCCTCCTGTGAGGTGAAGGTGCTGCAATTCCTTTGGACAGCTGTATCTGTGAAAAACAGAGGGCTGCTTTCTGTGCTTTGTGTGCCTGGCAGGGGCTCTTCCCCTTCAGCAGAACTTCCACCAGGAAATGTGAAAGGGAATTACTTCACATTATTTTGTGAATATATGCCCAGGGTCCCTGTTCCTGCCGGGTCCAAGCTACCTTCCCCAGCAGCCAGTGTGGGGCAGCTGCCACTGCCACCAGGAATGTGGGGCTGGAGTGCTGCCAGCCTGGGACAGGCAGGGTGGCCAGCCTGGGGACAGGCAGGGCTGTCAGCACAAGGACAAGGCTTGGGGCTTTCTCATTATGGCTCCAAGGGTGTCAAAAGCAAAGTCCATCAGTGTTGAAAACACCCAAATCTCAACCTCACTGATCTACATTGACTTCTTGCATTGAGGAGGAGGAGAAGGTGTCTGATTCCTGGAGAGCAAACCCAGGGGTGACAACAGTCTGATGCACAGTGGCATGTCTAATGGAGCTGTCAGGGTGCTCAGGGACACTGCTGGGGGTGTCACAGAGCGAGGTCACTGTGGGATCCCTCACCTGCCCCGGCTGTGGCTCCCATGTAGGAATTACAGAGTGGCTGCAGGATGGGCAGTCTGCAGCAGTGCCTCCAGTAGAGGGTCTGAGAGTGATTAATATTCAGCACACTGCTGTGAAAATGAACAGCCAGAAAGGATTGTCCTCCTCCCCTTCCTGCATCCATGAGGACAGTGATGGGAACAGAAATGAGATTCACTGATTATGGGGTTTTGAAACTAAACAAGTTGCTCTCTGGGTTATTTAGTGTCTTTTAATCTGTTCCTTCTCCTTTTCTTTTTTTTTTTTTTTATGTCTTCTTTCTGTAATTTAACTACAGGAAGTTTAAAAAGTAATAGTAGGAGGCTTTGGTTGAAGCTATCAGAACCAAACAGGAGGCAATTCCACAACCAGCTTTTCTTTAAAAATGGGAAACATTCTGACATTTCATTAAAGGGAAGATTCTTCCCACAGTCTCTTATCCAAACTCCATTTTGAAAAGCCCTTATACTGTTGTTGGTGGCAAAGCTTTCCCTATGCCATGCTCAGCAGCCAGTGCAGCAGTGGCAATGCTGACAGCACCCTGGGGTGCTCTGCACAGCACACAGGTGCCAGTGGGTGGAGGAACCTGGGAGAGGCTCAGACCAGACTCCACAGGGCAACCCAGTAGGGTGGGAGGAACCTTAGGAAAAACCTCATCAGTGCCCTTACAGCCAGAGCTGGCAAAGGTCTGAGCTGTTCTAGAGCCACCTGTCCTGGCACACTGGGGCTGGGTGGTGCCAGCAGCAGGGACGTGCCCCATGGCACTGTTTTTGTTAATATTGGTGGGTCAGAGCAGTGCAGGTGCTGCTGCTGTCCCCACAGGGCTCACAGTGTCCAGGGGCTGCCCACCCCTGCCTCAGTGGCAGCAGAGATGGGACCCAGCCTGATGGCACTGTGCCACCAGGCAAGGTTTGGGCTTTGGCATTTTGGTTCTAGGGTTACTGAGGAAATATTTACACCTCTTTTTGCAATCATTCACAGCAAGTGAGCCTTGGCACGGTCCTTCATCCTCCTCCTTCTGTTTCCTTAGGAACTGGAAACTGAAGGTGCCCAATGAGGTGTTACAGATTCAATAGCTTGGGCCAAACGCTGCCACCCATCCTGTCCCCGTGTGACAGAGCTCTGCCACTGTCATCAAAGGGCACCTGGCATCTGCCCTTCATCTCTGTGCTCTGAGCACACCCAGATCATCAGCACCAAGACCCATTCCCTGAGCCCCCAGGTGTGGGTGTTACTGCAGCCAGAGCGAGGTGCTCTGGTGCAGCCCAGATGTGCCCAGTGCCCACATCTCATTGGCATCAATACCTCTGACATTAATGGGCAGGGCAGGGGTGGCATTGGCTGCCCAGGGTATGGTTTGCTCACAGTGGTGAGATAAAGGGACTGAAGGAGCATCAGGAGAGGCTGGGCTGTGGTCCTGTGGGGCTGGTGACACGTCAACCACATCCTTACCTTGGGAAAAGAGCAGCGAGAACCTCCAGGATTTTCAGGGGAACATTTTGTCACTCAGAAGGTGTGAGCAGGAGCCCTGGCCCTGGCAGTGTGGTACCAGGAGGATGCTGGTTGCAAACTCTCAGCTAACAGCACCAGGACACCCCTGTTCCTGTTGGATGGGGCTCTGGGGCCCTGAGCAGGAGCAGAGGGACCCATGCTGGGCAGAGGCAGAGAAGGGTGTGGGTGCTGCCCACCAGGAATGCCCAGCAGAGCCAATGGGGACACTTGGAAATGATTGGTGGCACATAGTGCTGTGCCAGTGGATCTGGAGGCTGCAGGGCTTGGGCATCTGTCCCTGGCCCCTCTCACCATGCAGCCATTCAGCTCCAGGGCTGTGGCACAGCCAGCCTGGCATGAGGTTTGATGCCAGCGCAGCAGGAGCAGGCTCCTGTACCCAAGAGCTTGCTGGTACTGCCCCTGCCCTCCCTGGGGTCCCAGCGCCAGCCTGGGGGGGAGCTGTCCCCCTGGAGCCCCAGGGATGTGTTTGTTCATGTCAAACAGCCCCAGCTCACTGGCAACAGGCAGGAGCAGGAATACACACTAAAAGAACCAGCAGCTCAGGGACAGGGGCAGAATAAATCTGCATAAATACAAATGAGGGGAATATTTATTTGCCACATTTGCCACGTTTCCGTAGCTACTTTAAGCTGTGAGAGTGGGGGTCTGGCAGCCTGGGCAGGGTTTGGGCTTCACTCAGGCCTGTCTCTGGAGCTGCAGCCCCTGTGGTTCCCCACCTTTCCAGCAGACTCACCTATTCAATATTCCTCACATGTGAGTTACTCCTGTAGCTGATGGGAGAGATAAATAACAAAACCCTTGCAAATGCAAAAATCCTTTGGCAGTTTGGAAAGGAACCAAGTCACATGCTGAATGCAGATGAAGAAAAATCATTTTTATTGTAAGGAGTAACAGAAGGGTGTGAATCTGCCTCAAATCCACCTCACCCACAATGCAGCACGTCCAAATCCACTTGGAGATTACAAGGCAGGATAGCATTCACTCTGATCAGTTCAAAGCGTTGCTGTTTGGGAACAAATAGGCTGAGTGTGCGCCTGGATTAGGCTGGGGGCTTTTTTTGCCTCTTTTTAACAGTATGAAATCACTGGAAACAGCAAAAATCCCTTTTGAATTTGTAAGCCAATCAAGAAGCAGAAGGAGAGCAAAGACAAAGAGTTTACAGCTCATTGAATTTGTCCCTTTTCTCTCTTCCTTTCTTAGAAGGATTTGGGCAGTTGGTGCAGTCTCATGAAATTCCTGAGGGGACCAAACCCTGCCTGACTGTCTGCATCCAGCACCTGGAATGTTCCCTCTGTGCTGAGCCATTACCTGGCCTAAACTCCAGCCCTAGTGAAGCTGGGATGGGTGTGAGGGAAAACCAGGGGATCAAGGGCATCCCTTCATCGGTGAGTGCCATAACAAGTGGTTTGTGACCATGACAGCCAGGAGGAACAGTGTCATCAACATGGCTGATCACTGACACAGCTAATTATCAATATGGCTAATTACTGACTGATCATTATTGGCACAGAGTATCATTGGCACAGATAACTCTAGGCTGGACAGAGACACCAAAATCTGAGAAGGCTGAAATGTAGAACAGAAGAAAAAGTCTTTTCCTGGTTGGGTTTCTCCGTTTTCATGTCTATTCTCCACCTTCTGAGTGGTTTTCCTCCCTTCCCTCCTCCTCCTGGGGAATCGCCTGCAGGGACACCTGGAGGGACACCAGAGTGGAGATTTCAGGCAGCCCTGTGCTGCCCCTGCCACCTCCCACTCCAGGCAGCAGGGGCAGGGCTCTCCTCGCCCAGCCCAGGTTCTGGCACAGTTGGCAGCAGAGCTCTGAGCCAGGTCCCAGCCAGCCAATCCTCCTTACCCAGGGCTCTGCCAGTCCTGCAGCTACGGATTGATGCTGGGGTTGACACCTGCAGCTGGGGGAGACATGCCCAGGTCAGTGCACTCCCTTCCTCAGGTGCCCAAAGCCTGACAGTCCCCAGTGTCCCCCAGCACAGGAACAGGCTCAGCAGTGCCTGCTGTACCAGTGGCCTGAGAGGCCCCAGCTTTATGGGCAGAGATGATTTAGTGCCCTCAGGAATACGGCTCTGGGGAAGCTGGGAAGACTTCCAACTCTTCCTTCCCTTCCCTATATATTAACTTTCCATGCATATGAAGCTGAGAGCTCTTCCAATCACCTCTGCAAATATTAATTAATCCTCGCAGCATCCTGAGGACCATTATTCACTCTTATTAAGCAAATATTATTAAATCCTTTTATAAGAGGTGAAGTGACTTTTCCAGGGCTGTGCAGGGCACAAGTAGGAGTGCACAGACTTTCTCTTGCTACTGTATTCCAGACCTGGCACTGCACAGGAGCAAAGTTGCTCACATCTGAGCTGGGGGCCATCTCTGAGGACCAGTGACCCCAACACCCCCAGCACTGCCATGCCCTGTGAGGTGCTAGTGCTCTGTGGGGCTGTTTAGAGATGCACAGCACCTGGCAGCTCTGCCTGCACCCCAGAGCCATGAGAGCCCTCCCCACTCCTGGCCACTGCCCAGGACTGTGTCCCCCATTTCAGCCACCCCATTCTGGCTCACAGACATCCGTGGGGATCCCCATGGCAGCCCTGGGGCTGGACTTACTCTGAAGGAGCCAGTCGATGAAGGAGCTTGGGAATGGGGAATTCTGCAAAGAGCAAGGGGGTGTTAGAGCACGGGAATGTGGAGGGAGGGCAGCAGTGTGGGGACATGGGATGGGACATGGCTCTACCTGCAGATCCAGCTCCACATAGTGCCCAGATGTCACTGGCAGTTTGGAGAAGGCAGAGTAGATTTTCCCCAGAAGCCCAAAGGAGATGACGCCTGGGGAGAGGGAGAGGCTGTCAGGGCACTGAGAGCTCTCTGAGGGTCACTGAGCCTGCTGGAGCCCTGTGCCCACCCAGAGCATCTGGCAGAGCTGGGAGAGCACTGTCCTGCCCAGCAAGGAGGAAAATCTCCTTGTCCTTCCTATAGATCTCAAACTCCCAGGGGTTCAAAGGTTCCTATGAGAGCTGCTACCCTGGAGCTCACAGGTGCAGATCCCATCACAAGGGAAATGCTGGGGGGAACAGATCTGCTTCCAGTGAAGCAGCAATGGTGTGTGAGGTCTGACATGAACAGGGCTGGGGAGGGGAAACACTCTGGCTCTGTGGCACTGCCCCTGGGGATCCTGGCATAGCCAACTCTTGGCAGCAGCTTTGGTCTAGCCCTGGTTAGAAAAACACCTGTAAGAAGAGCAGGACTGTGGTGTCTGGCAGTGGTGGTGAGCCAGGACTGTGCCACCCACAGCAGTTTTGCCAACAGAGAAAAGCTGCTCCTGCTCCATGCACAGAGCCCTGCTTGCACAGCCCAGCTCTCCTGGGGACACCTGCTGCCCGTGGAGGTGGCCAGACACACAAACCCCCAGGGTCATCCTGAAACTTAAGATAGGAAAGAAAATGTAATGACTTACGGTTGAGGAATTGCAGATTAATGTTGATGATGCTGACCCACACGTTCACTAATGGGCAGAGCTGCAATGGCAACAAGGGGCACAGTCTTGGTGAGAACACTGTGGGTGCAGCAGCACATTCCCAGCACCACTTGAGTTCCACAGATTTAAATCAGGATGGGACAAACATCCTGCTTTCATCCTAAAGCATGGTTCTCCCATGGAAAAAGAGCTATATGATTTGTTCAGCTCCCTTCTCAAAATAGGACAGGTTCTACTGAACAAGGTAAAAGGCTCTCTAAAAGGCCACTTTGCTCTAAACTGAGCTGTTGCTTTTGTTCACTCCCTCAGGGAACAGCTGAGTATAAATTACCCCATAACATCACATGATGAAATTGAAATTACTCTTAACAAATAAATTCTGACTGTGAGGAAGATCAGCAATTTTGTGTAACTCACTTATGGGCTGCAGGTATGTATCTGTGCATCACAAATATACATATATATATACATATATATATACATATATATATATATGAAATGGATATTGTCCCTGCCAAGGGCAGGGGGATTGGAACTAATTAACCTTTGAGGTCCTTTCCAATCCCAACTGTTCTGTGATTCTGTGTGTGTGTAAATCTACCAGGCAGTTCTGGCAGGAGCACTGACTGCAGCTGAAATGCAACTTCACAGCAAAGAATATTCAGACACTCACCAGCGCAGGGACAAGGGACTTAAGAGACTTGTTCAGCAAGCTGCTCACCAGATTGGTGAGGAGGCTGGGGAGGGAAAAGACAGACAAAAATTACCAGGGAAGTTGTCAAAACCCAGGACTTGACATCAAGAAAAAACTGAGCTCCTCTGTAGAGGAGCCCCCTCCTCTTCTCTGATAAGAGATGCTGCAAGCCCAGAGCTCCCCCAGGCTTCAGCAGGAATTACAGATGCTCAGGACTTTGTTTTCTGAATCCCAAAATCTGCTTGTTAGGCTGTCAATCCGTGCCCAGATTTGAGACTGAAGTACTGCCCCTGTGCCCCCACTGACCCCCACGCTCACCCCTTCCTCAGGCTGACACTGAAGCCACCAAGGAGGTTGCTGCAATCCTTAAGCACCAGCTTAAGGTCACCAGGGGAGTCCTGGCTCAGGGCAATGTGTGATGTGATGTTTGCTTCTACTGAGGATCCACTCAGAAACTGAAAAATCCTGGAAAAGAGGAAGTGGCGTGGAAGGCTTATGGAGGAAGTCAAAGCAGCACCGGAGACTGGTGCCTGTGGCAGAGCTGCGAGCAGAGCCTCAGCTGGGACAGTGCTTCAGTTCAGGGACTTCTCTCAGGCTCCTTCTCCTGTAGCAGATCACAGAACCATAGAATTGTTCAGGTTGGAATTTCCCTCTAAGATCAAGAAGCCAATTATCAACCCAGCACCCCTGCCATGTTCACTAAACCATGTCCTCCAGAGCCATATCCACATGTTTATTGAACTCTTCCACGGATGGTGAGTGTTTGTGGAGTGAAGACAGCTGGAAATGGTTCCAGGGAGAGTCAGCAGCACAGCTTTTCTCACCAGCCTGTTGCTTGGTGTTTGTCCAGCACTCAGGAGTGTCCCATTGTCCCCAGCACCCTCAGGTGCCCATGGCCTCACTCTCCAGCCTCACTCACCCTGGAAAGCGGAGCACCAGCTTCGAGTACAGGTTCAGCACAAGCTCAGTCCCACGAAGGACCTTCCATGACACTCGGGCGCTCTCGAGGTTCAGCACCTTCAGCCTGGGGGTTGACACCAAGGCAAACCCACCTTGAGATGGCAGGATCAGCAGGAGCAGATCCTACAGTCCCATCTCTTCCTGTTCATTTTTTGACCTGTGGATATTGCCAGGTAAAAGTGAAGGTGGGGAAGGACCAATTCCTGCTCTGCAAACAGCCAATCTCAAAGCATGGTCGGGCTTCTCAAGGCTCTATCCTCCTGAGTCTCAGCCATCTCCATGGATGGAGATTGCCCCTCCTGCTGTGTTGCCCATGGCAGTGTCACACCACTCCCACAGGTAAGACTTTTCCCATTTCTGGTTAGAATTTCCCCTGTCGCAGATTCTCATGTGGGCTGTGAGCCTGGGACTGGTGGTTTGTATGAGAGGGAGGGTCTGATCCCCTGGATGTCATGGGCCACCCTGCAGTGAGCCCCACCAGGGGCTTCTGACTCACCAGGCGAAGCGTGTCATCTTCTGGGGGGCTTCACCACCCAGCAGTCCTCCTGCTGCTCCCAGCAGTCCTCCTGCTTCACCCAGAAGACCATCGAGTCCAAGCAGACTTCCATTGCCTAGGAGACCTCCTTTTCCGAGAAGCCCCGTGCCAAGCAGACCTGTCTCTCCAAGAAGGCTGTTATTGCCAAGGAGGCCATTGCCAAGGAGACCATTGTTGAGGAGACCATTGCCAAGTCCCTCCCCACCAAGGAGGCCTGTTGCAAGGCCTTTCCCACCAAGGATTCCAGTGCCAACACCCTCTCCACCAAGGATTCCTGTAGCCAGTCCTTCTCCACCAAGGAGTCCTGTGCCGAGTCCTTCACCAAGGAGTCCTGCTCCGAGGCCTTTCCCACCAAGGATGCCTGTGCCAAGCAGCCCACTGCTGCCAGGCTGTCCTCCTGCAACAGACAGAACTTCCTTACTATCCTGTCCTTTACCACCTTCCTCAAAGCTGCTTTTACTGCTCTGCCTAGGGTTAGGGTTCCAAAAACCACAAAGCCCCAAGTTCCAGGCACACTGCAACTGCAAAAGGCATCCCAAGGGGAACACAAAACTGCCACAACATGGCTGCCTCCATGGCTTTTTCCTTGGAATCATCCTTAGCTTAAGGCACTATTTGCTGCCTAGGATTAGGGTTTCAGCTAGGGTTAGGGTTTCAGCTAGGGTTAGGGTTTTCAAACCACAAAGCCCCAAGCTCCAGGCACGCTGCAGCTGCAAAAGGCATCCCAAGGAGAACACAAAACTGCCACAACATGGCTTCCTCCACAGCTTTCTCCTTGGAACCAGCCTTAGATCAAGGCTGCTTCTACTGCTCTGCCTAGGGTTAGGGTCACAAACCCTCCCTTTGCCAAATTTTCTTACCTAGGAGGCCTGTGCCAAGGATTCCACCTCCACTGGGTTCAGCTCCTGCACCAATAGGAGCTCCACTTTCTGCTCCACTTGGACTTCCTTTGCCCAGGAGGCCTGTGCCAAGCAGGCCTCCTTCACCAAGGGCACCTGTGCCAAGCAACCCACTTTTTCCACCAATGAGACCAGTGCCAAGCAGACCTGCACCAAGAGACTCCCAGTTACTGACTGGACTTCCACTCTTGGGAGGATTTCATTGACAGGCAAGGTTGGTTTGACCACTTCAGGATGCTCACAGGGAGCCCTGAGCACCCTTGAACAAATCTGTGTTCCTCACGGAGATGGGCCTGCCAGGAGGCAGCTCCCTGATGAGCAGAGGGACATGCCATGAGCACAAAATGGCACAGGACTGTGCTGTGACTCTGCCCTGGAAACACAGAACATCTCTGAACTCACCACCGCTGGGTTGTGCCGGGTTCAGCAGGTTGAGGAGGCCCTGGGAGGGGGACAGGAGGGCCCCAAGAAAGATGAGACACCAGAAGGGTGGCATGTCCTGGCACAGCACCTGTGGGAAGACTCACATCAGCCCAAGCACCAGTTTCACATGGGTATTGACAGCCTGGGCTCTGGGACAGTTCTCCATCCTTCATGTGCACTGCCCTGGGCTGGTGGGGAGCTTCCTTCTGGACATACAGCCTCCAGACACCATGTCCTGCATCCCAGCCCTGACCTGCAGCCCCCTTTTCCCATTCTGGCTGTCAGGGAGCAGTGGAAGCCCAGAGCCATCAATGTCTCCACGCCTGGCCGTGCTCCCCCCATGCAGAGCTGGGTGCCCGACACTGCAGGGAAGTGAAAATGCCATTTTAAGAGAGGAAGAGGGATGGAGATGAGGGAGGAGGACCTTGTACTGAGAGAGACGGATGGCTTCCAACCACTCTGAAATGGCCCTGAAAGAGGAACACTCACAGGGGCACAGCCAAATAAAAAATGACGAGTGTCACAGCTGTGTCCTTCTGCCTGCTGTGAAGAGCACCCTGTGTTATTAAAGCTCAAAGCATGGCCAGAATCAGACTCGCTTTCCCGTGGGCAGGTTGTTTGTTTTTCTCATCTTGTTCCACTCAAGCTGTGAAAAGAGTCTGTTTTCCCTGTGTTTGATCTTCACCCAGCCAAAAGAAAGTACCTTCAAGGACCTTCTGTTCCTGCCCGAGCTGGGCTTCTCAGGGTGACAGTGCAGGCTGGGGAGTGTTTGTTTATGCATGGAAAGAAATGAGAAAATGGTCTCTCTGCAGCACTGCCAGGGGTCCCAGCTCTAGCAGCATTTTCCTGGACAGATCATGTCCTGAACAGACACCTCAGCTTGTCCCTTCTGAGAAAAACAATGTACAGGGTGCAGATTGCAGAGGTTCAGCACTGAGAAATAACATTATTTAGGTCAGACTGAACAACTTCTTTATCTCTTCCAGATACTTTAAAAAAACCCCTCTATGACAGTTCTCGGCACAATTAAATTAGACTTTAATTCACTCGACTGTCTTTTACATTTTCCCTTTGATCAGCACGTAATGATGCACAGCTCCTGTAGCTGTGATTATTGAACAGGGGAGAAGGAGAGAGGCTCGAGCAGCTTCTATTGAAAATCGTGTCAAATAAAATCAGTGGGATTTGTTGGAGGGGCTCTGAAAGACGTGTGCAGCATTGCAAAAGGGTGCCAGAATGGATGTCAGGGCTCTTAGAAGAGCTCTTAGAGAATACGTGACGGTGCAGGCACCTATCTCTGCAGTTATTAACAATATCTGCCAGGGTGCTGCTCCTCGGTCATGCACATTTCAGTGAGCCAAGCATCTTGCACATGCAAAAGGCACGTCTGGCTTTGCAGATAAACACTTATTTTACACCAGCTGAGATGAGGTCTGGAGAGCTGAAAATTGCTCTGAATTCTGGTCACCAAGATCATGTAAAAACTCCCAGTCCTTTCTTCCAGCTTAGTCATTATCACAAACTTAACAACAACGGGAATAAACGTGGAATTTAACAAGCAAGAGCTCTGCTAGCTTTAAAAATTAATTTTCATAAATGATTAAATGCTGCTACAGAAATCAAAGGAAAGCATCATTAAAATTCCTGCATTTCAAGCTGAGTTATTCTGTGCTGTAGGTCGCCTGATGGAGCTGGCACGGTGGCCACGGTCCTTCAGTGCCACTTACCTGGACCCTTTGATGTCGAGGTGGAGCTGCCCATGGCCACGGCTGCTGGCAGCTGCTTTTATATACCCGAGCTGCAGGAATGAGGAAAGCCAAGGAAAGGATGGAGCAGGGACACTTCCCTTTTGCTGGCTCTGAAGTGTGACCCCTGCAGCAGCCTGAGCACCACACCTTGCTGTGGCCAGCAGCATCACCCCTCACCCTGGCTGTGGTGCCCACCCGCTCAGGGGAGTGTCCCAGCACAGCTCTGCACCATCAAATGGAGCAGAATGAGTCCAAGGACAGTGAGAGGTGAGCAATTACCTCCCAATGAGCTAATTACATACAGAAACCTCACAAATTGCAAAACAAATGAAGGAGAGCATGGCTTTGTTGTGCACCCTCTGCTCTGAGAAAACTGCCTGTGCCCCAGAGGCAAGCAGGAGCTGGCTGTGTGTCCAAGGAAGAGCTCCACAGTTTAAAAGAGGCTTGAGAGACACCAGATAAAAGAAAACAGGGAAATAAATAGAGGAGAAAGGAAAAGAAACATCAAGGATATCAGAAAAACCAGATTCTGATATTCCAGGTGTGTTTCAGAGTGGATCTGGGCTGGACCAGGGCAAGACAGTCTCACAAGCAGTGGTGCAGCAGCTGTCCCAGCTACTCCCTCTCACCCCAGGAGAAATGGGTGGCTTTAGAGCCTTCAATTTGCAGAAGTTTCATGTGGTTCATGCAGAGTTCATGAGCATTGCTGAGTGATTTCCCACCCTGGTCCCTAAGTGCTCGCAGGATGAAGCCCAGGGCAGGTGAGGGTGTGATGGGTGCCCAACATGACCAAGACACCCCAGAGCTTTGGGCCCAGGCCATGAAGAGTCTGACATGTTTGGGTCTGACACAGCCTTTGCTGGCAGAGCTCTGCACCCCCTGAGCTGGGGGTGGACAGAGGGGGCTGCAGCCCTCCCACCTGAGGTCTGCCCTGAGCCCAGGGCTGTCACCAGAGCTGGCCACCCCCACAGGCTTCAGCACCTGCTGTGGCTGCAGAGAGGGCTGGCCTTCATTGAACCTGAGCACAAGAATGCAAAGTACACCCACACCCTTCCGAGCACCCACAAAAGAGCTGGAAACACAATGTTCCATGGAAAACACACGCGTCTTCCTCCTGCTCAAGAATGCAGGCAGGATGCAACGTTTACAGGGATAACACCAAGCTGCTGCTGTGCCATGTTGGGTGTAGAGAGACACTCAGGATCCTCAGGCAAGTAAGGTCAATTTTTAGCGGCCTGGGAGGAGAACCCCCTCTCCCAGCACAGCTATGGGACACAAACCAGCCCAGCACAGAGGGGAGGTCACTGCTGAACTTCTCCCCAGGTCTCAGCCCCAAACTCCATCCCTTCTATGTGCAGCCCCTGTCTCCTCAAGGTGTCCTGTGGTCAAACAAAGAGGTCAGGGCGGGGGTGGCTCCTCCAGCCTCTACCAGGCTGCAACCTAGGGAAACTGGGCTTTCCATCTGTGGGGAAACTGCCTTGTGGTGAGGGGAAGCACTGGAAGGAATTTTCTGCATGGGCTGTTCCTTCATACACATTATTCAGAAGGCAGAGGGACATCGCCTGGGTGGATCACCATGATCTGGGCGGATCACCATCACCTCTGTTCCAGCTGTGAGCTGGATCACAGCTGTGAGCTGGATCACCTGTATTTTTCTTTAAAGTCACCACTGGTGCTGTGGGGACTGCAATTCCCATCAGCAATTCATGTGGCTCAGGGTATCCCTTGAGAATCTGGCTACACACAAAAATGAAAAGTTTCTGCTGCTGGGAGCACAAACAGTGACCAGGAGCTGCAGAGCAGATTGCCCACCAATGCAGCAATTGCACAGTGCTGCTCTGCAGGACACTCTGATCCTGAATTCCTGCAGCACAGCACAGCTGTATCTCAGCTGCAGAAGTTCATCATGAGGCCCAGTGGGAGGATGTGGTTTCCACTGTGGGTGGCAGGGGTGGTATGGGGGCCCATGGGGTTTGGGGACATTCTCTGGCTCCAGCCACACACCCAATGACAGTGTGGAGTCACAGGGGAAGGAAACACAGGTCCAAATGTTTGCAATATTTGCCTTTACGGTCAGCTTCATGCTCCCTCTTTGTGGAAGGGCTGCACGCACGGCCTCACCCCCGTGACACTTCCTTCTCCAAAAGTTTGTGAAACCTAAACCCTGCTGTGCTCTCCCATGACAGAAGTGAGAGCAAGGCGTGAAGCCAGGAGCTCTGCCAGCTTCCACAGCCCCCTGCCCAGCTGCACATGGCTGAGGACACCTTGATGAAGCTAAGGGAAATATCCCAAGCCCTGTGCACAGATGGAAGGGAAGATGCAGGACTCACATTCAAGTCCACCTTGAGAACTGGCCAGCTACCAGGGGAAGTCTGGACAGGTTGTACTGGATGCTGCCCACAAATCCAGGGCCAGCAGTTCTAGGGGGAGAGGAAGGGATCAGTAATTCCTTGTTGGACTCAGCTGCAAATCCCCCTCCCTACCTGAAGTTCCGTTTCATCCAGAAGAGAGAGCCTGGCTTTCAAGTGGGCTCTGGGCAGGGAGCTCCTGCAGACCCCTGCTCCTGGCAGATCTGGGGCCAGGGTGCAGCAGAGGAGGGAAAGGTGTCTCAGTTCCAGAGGAGGGAAAGGTGTCCCAGTCCTCCCTCAGCTGGACTGGGTGACACACGGCACAAGGCAGGACAAGGACCCACTGTGTGCTCACAGTTTGGTCACTGACGAGTCCCAGGGCAATGCTGAGCACTGAGCAGAGCTGTGAGGGTTGGGGAAGGATGGTGAGAAGCCACATTCAGAGCCAGAGAAGGACACACAGCCCTGCTTGGCTCTGCCAGGCTTTCCCTGGGCATGGGAACACTGGGCATCTGGAATAGTGGCCCTGCTCTGGATCTGGCCCTGGGCACCTTCCTCAGAGAAGGGAGGAGAACCAGGAGCCCAAGGGGGGTGGCTAGAAACACCCTGGGGCTTTCAGGAGGAGAGAGATTCCATGAATCTGTTGCATAGTCCAAGACATCATTAGGAACTCTCAGCATTTGGGCAGACCTTGCATTGGGAAGGAAGGAGAAGGTTCTCCCAAGCTGGTGGAGCCATGGATTGTGTCTCCCACTGATCCCAAGGTACTGGGTGGATGCAGCAGCCTGGGACAGTGGCTCTGCTCCTGCTCCAGGCATCAGTGATGCCACAGGGAGCTGCACCACATCTTTTCAGAATCATTGCTCCTTCCCAGAATGTTTTATTTTTCCGACTTACCAGATTAGGAAGAAGTCTGTTCAGGACGCTTGCCAATAAATTATCCACAATTGGGAGCAGGCTGTGGAAAAATAAAGGAGCACCATGAAAACAACCTGCTGCAAAGTAAATGGGTCTTGTTAAACAATTCCCTGTGAATAGCGTGGAGCACAGACCTCCCGGAGCAAGGCAATTGCAGCAGCAGAGTGAATCGTTTCTGCTTGGATTTTGCATGAGATAACTGTAATTTGCATCCCAAAATAGCCGATGGGAAATTTATTGCTGCCTTTTATCTGCTGGTGTATAGTCTCCTCAAATGAGCAGAGAAAATCTCAGGCTGAGTGGTTCCTCCACTATGTGCTCACGTCTCAGAAGACCCCGGTGCCGTGTCCATTAAAATCACCTCTGGATGTGGCACACGGGACAGAATTGTGCCTTGGGATCTCTGGGGCAGCACACCACTCGTTGTGGCTGTGTGAGGGGTGCACAGGGACCAGCAGCACTGGCCCTGTGACATGGTTAGTGTCACCTGCAGGCACGGTGTGAGGGAGGGCTGTAACAGGGAAATGCCCTGGTGCATTTGTAGGGCGTGGGCTGGGGCTGGCAGAACTTGATGGCGAGGTGGCTTACGCCAGCAGGGGACACCTCCATCACTCACCCTCTCAGGAGTCTGATTTTGATGCTACCAAACAGCCACAGCAGCAGCCCCAGCAAGAGGGGCACTGCGGGTGACAGCTCTAAGCACAACTGGGCTCCACCGGGCTTGGGCGAATCAGAGGCCAGTCAGACCAGAAATGCCAAAAGACACCAAATTTTCTCATTTATTTTCCTCTCTAAGTTACTTCCCAGTTTTATCAGGAGCTTGGCTCTTTTGCCTTGTTTTTTCTTCTGTTTCTGCCGGGCATCCAAGCGCAGCCGAGCGCTGGGCTGTGCCGGAGCGTGGCTCTGCAGAGCGCAGTTCGTGCACCCTCTACGGGCAAAGGCTCCTGCACTGCTGCCTGCTCTGCCCTTCCCTGGCAGCCCAGGAGCCTCCTCTGCCCTGCAAACCTGCGGCACTTCCAGAGCTGTCCCCTTTCAACAGCCTGGCCAGTTGAAATTTTAATAGCATTTAAAACAAAACTACTCCCGACACAGTTTGGAGGGGGAGGTTTGCTCACAAGCATCGTGCTCTTCCCCTTCCCTGGGCAATTCTCTGCCTTTCCTGGCTGGTCATGGTGCTGGAATGAGGGGGTCAATCCCAAAGGGGGGCCTCAGTGGTCCTTGTCTTCCAGAGTGGCACTGGTGACCCACCAACACTCAAAACTCCTTTACTTTACTCCTTCACTTTACTCCTTTACAGCCCAACCTAAGCCCACGTCACCCTCAGGTGAGTTGTGCAAATTAAGGATGAAATTGTATCAGTGACTCACACTGGCCTTTCTTATTAAAATGGCCCGGTTTTAACCTTTTAATGATAAAAATAACCAGAACCTCAAAAGGATAGCACTACACAAAACCTCCTTAAACTTTCATGTTAAATGAATGGATTCTCAGAAAAGGTTTTTCATTTTGCTATAATGACCTATTTTCTGATAGTCCCTAAATATAGTCACTAAATATAAACTGGAATTACTCACTGCATTCCTACTACTGTTGTATTTATTTCCATGTTTTTTCTTGGCTCACTGGAGTATATCATAAGGTTTGGGGGTAAAACAAAGCTCACGGTACCTTGCTCCCCTTTTTGAACTCCTTTTATTTACCTGATTTTATCCTGAATTTCAAGCCTGGCTTTGCTCAGCTCCTCCTAAAGTGAGACCTTATGCTGGCCCACGGGCATCTCTGCTTTAACCCACACAGCAGATCCTTCTATGGTGAGGATGCTGCAGGAAAAGTGGAAAGGTGCTTGAATTTCCAAAGCTGGCCAGAGGATTGAAGGTGTAAAACCCCATTTGTGAGTTTCATATATTCCACTATAAATAATGACTTGTGAACCAGGGGAAAGCATTGAGCAGCAGGTTGCTGGACAGCCAGCATCAGGCAGAACTCTTCCCAAGAGCCCAGGGCCAAAGGGAAGGAAAAGGTGTGTGAGACTCTGTGTCTGCAGCACGTGAGGCTGCACTCACCTGAAGGAAACTGCTGGGAAATCTGTTTCTTCCACAGAAATCCCTGCTGGCACCTGCCCAGGTGCTGGCACACACAGGTTACCACAGCAGGGGGAATTTTTAAAGTTTCCAGCAAGTGCGTGAGGAGGTTTTGGAATAGTACCAACAGATTTTTGTCTCCTTTACTGCTTGAGGAACCTGGAGAAGTGATTCCTGAGGCTTGTCCCACCCATCCTGCAGCTGCCAGCTCCTTCCCAGCAGATGGTGTTTCCTCCAAAAAACCCCTGTGCTGGGACACCTCCACAGCCACCTCTGGCCATAAGGGCACCTTTGTTCTGGTGCCCTCAACACTTAATACCATTGTGAGATCAAATGTGCTTTTTTTGACAGCCCGGTGTGTCTTACACAACAAGGGGGTAATACACACCTAAATAAATCCCCATGGAGTGTGTGCTCACGTTATCTGTGCAGAGCCTTGCACAACCAGCCCCAGCAGGCTCCATGTGGGACCTGCTGCCAGCAGGAGCTGCTCCAAAGGGCTCCAAAGGAGAGGGAGAGATCAGCAAGAGCTGTGCCAGAACTGCATTGGGAACTCTCCTCTGCCCCCCACCAGTCAGGCAGGAGAGCTGGGCTGCACCAGGGCACCCATGTGCTCCCAACCCAGTGCCCCTCTGAGAGGCTGTTTCACACCTGGTGCCACAGGCTGAGCTCCAGAAATGCTCTCTCTAGGTCCCAGTTTGTCCTCTGAAGGCACAGCCTCCCCACCCACCTGTGTGCCATGTGGCACAGGGGCATGGAGCAGGTAAACAGCTGTGGGGAGCCAGAAACTCATGTAAATAAATATCCAGAGAGGAAAATACTGTGACAGGGAGAGATTTTATTGAAAGAGCAATACGAGAGCAGCCTATGTGCCTAAGAGTTGTCTGCCTTCTGGCTGTGGATGTTAAAAGGGGCCACAGGAACCCCCAAACATCCACCAGCCAAGCCAGAGGCTGCTGCCTGTCCTGCTCAGGCCACAGCCACAGCACAGAGCAGCACTGGAGAGAAAGGAAGAGGGAGAGAGTGGAGCAGAGCAGGGCTTGGGGTGCATGTGCTGCCTCAGAAAGGGAGCAGCAACGAGGTTCCCCCCGAGCAGGATCTTCCCAGAGTGCTCTGGCCAGAAAACTCATCCTCCTGGAAGAAGTAGAACAAAAACAACTCAGTTTTCTCATTCAGACTTTCACCAGCTTTTTGCTCTATCCCAGGTGGGGTTTTCCTGTGGAAAACCAGCAGAGGGAAACTGAGAGCAGCCCATGGGAAATGAGGTTGGCCAGGGTGGTGTGGGGCTGTGGGATCTGCATGTCCCAGCCCTGGGTGGGCACATTCCCCCTCCCAGGACACAGCACAGTGGGAAAACTCAATCCTTACATCAGTGATGGCAACTGCAGCGTTCCTGAGGTTGGTGTTCAGGACGTTGGGCAGTGGAACCGACACACGGAGGGCATCTGCAAAAACAGGTGTAGGAATCTCATCACAGGGATGAAACCCAGAATGAAGGCACCAAAGGGAGGGGGAGAGCCTCAAATCCAACTGGATCTGAGATGAGAGGGGATCCTGACCCCCATACCTTGAACAGAAGGTACATAAACAGCTGTGAGGACCTTCTTGAGCCATTCTGTCAGCGAGGAGGCCTGCAGGGAAGAAGATGTGTCAGAGCAATGGTTATTGGGCCTTGTCAGGGTAATCAGCTGAGTTCTACTCAGTTTGCTCTCAAATACAAGAACTAGGAATCCTCCTTCAGTGAATCACTCCCAGGATTGAGGGTGGGTATGCTCTTTGGCTAATTTCTTTTCAATTATTCCTCCCTCATTCCCAGGACCCCCAAGTGAGGAGATAGACCCAAGTGTCACTGCTGTAGGGTACAGGGGATCTGCAGAGCAGAGGGAAATTGCTCTCTGCCAAGAGAAGTAGAAGGATGAAAAGTGAAGAATGAGCTTGTGGATTTCCTCCCCCACACAGAGTCTCTGGCCATTGCATCCCTCACTGCAGCACCTCCACCCAGTGCATGCACTTACACTGGCAGCATCAAGGCTTTGGGGGAACCGTGTCGGGTTGATGCTACAAAAGATAAAAACAAGGAACAGTTGGGGTGTGTTGGTGCAGCCTCCTCCAGGCCCTTTCTCAGTCTGGAAGTTTTCTCACCCTCATAAAGATACAGGATTGTAAAATTAGAACAGCTTTTTTACAATTCTCTCATCACGTCAACCACGCAGTTGGTCGGAGGTTGGGGCTGGGAGGAGGCAGGAAGGCTCCAGCAGCCCTTGACATCTTTACCATGTCTACATCTCTGTCCCCCACCAGCCCCATTTGTCCCCAGGCAGAGCCCCCCACCCGCAGAGCTGGGCTCTACCTGTCAAGAGCCAGGGAGGTTTGCAGTTTGCCATCAGAGACTGATGGGGTGATGTTCAGAACGATGTCCTGGAAATGGAACAATGAAAGAAATGAGGTTATTCCCCTGCACAGCTCCCAAGACTGAAAAGTGTATTTGTAAATTACCCATTCTGAGAAAAAACACTTGTCTGTGCCGAGGAGCCACATTTTCGTGACAGATGGCATCATGTATCTCTCTCCCCAGGGCCTGACTTCCTGTCTTTATTTTGTGTTATTCCTGAAACATTTCACTTACACTTTGTGCTTGGTTATGAGCTTGTTTAAAGGACTGGGCATCACCGCTTTGATGATGCAGTAAATACAAAAGCACAAACACTGCAGGGCCAAGGGCAGGGCAAGCCAAGGGGATGGCAGCAGTGCTCCAGCCTCAGCCATGGCCCTGTTCCAGACCTCTCATCCCCCGGGAGCTCACTCACCATATCGACGGAGAACAGGAGCCCCTGGGGGGTCTGCAGGGCAGGGCTGGTGACATCAATAGTGGCTCTGAGGATGACAGTGGCCCTTCCATCCCTCACAGCCACCACTGGCTCATCCCTCACTCGGACACGCAGCTCCAGGGGCAGGGAGCCAGGGAGGGACCGGCTGAGCTGCAGGGACAGAGGAGGTCAGGGCAGGGGTGGGGTGAGTGAGGGGCTGGAGTCAATGCAATGGAGAAGGTGACTGACCTGGGGGATGAAGGGGAAAAGGGCAGACACGGTCAGCGAACTGCTCTGGGTGACCTGTGGGAACAGCACTGGTGACATCGCTGCCCGGGAGGGGCTGGGCAAAGCCCACACCGGGCTCAGCTGGACCCCACAAACACAGCAGGCAAAGGTGGGCACCAAAGGGCAGGCAGGACACTGACCTGGCCTTGCAGAGGGGAATTGCTGCCCGCCAGGCTGGTGATGCTGAGGTTGAGGGTGCCCTGGCCCTGGCCCTGCTCCAGCAGGGCGCTGAGGGTGTCCTGGGAGAGGCTGAGCCGGGGCCGGCGGCCAGTGGCCAGCTGCAGGCTGGCACTGAGGGGCAGTTCCTGCATGGGGGGCATCACGCCATCCCTGCCATTCTCAGACAGGAGCTGCAGGGGACAGAGCAGGGAGGGGCGTTGGTGGGGCTCAGAGGCTGCACTGGGCACCCTGCCTGCCTGTGCACCTCGGGGAGAGCCTCCCATGAGGTTTGTCTGCATTAAATGAGACAGGGCTGCATCTGCTACACCTTCCCCACAGAAACACTGCCACATATCCTGATTGGAAACACACATTGCTGATATTTTATGTATGATTCTGGTCCCTGTCAATTACCAAACTTTGACAAACCACTTATAAACAGAACATGCCTGCAAGCAGTGACTGCTGCTCCTGTATGAAATTAAACTTTTCTGATTAAAAACTATGAGAGTGCTACAATTATGCTTAATTAAGTAGCATCAAGCCACTCTTGATCATGCAACCATCAAGGATTAGCAGGCAAAAAATAAAGACAAGACCCAGCAGTGGCAATAGCAGGGATGTGGCTGGAGCAGACTCATCAGAACCTTCCTGTGAACAGTGCCTGAAGGCAGCTGAAATGTGAGTAGCCTTTGATAAACATCCACCATGTTCCAATGAATCAAAGTCGAAAGTTTTGGGACCAGGGAACACAGTGGCACTTACATTCAGATCCACCTGGATGGCATCACCACTGAGGATGGAGAAGGAGGGCAGGTCCCCCAGGGCCCCGAGGGGGAGCACCTCTGTGAACACAGGGAAGAAAGCTCTTCAGCTGCAATGGCAAGGGATTCTGCCAAATCCCATGGTCCCAGGAGTTACTGGAACCATCAGCAGCTCCCACTCACAGCATTCCCAGCTAGAAAAGCCACTAGAAAACAATACTTCGCAGCAACAGTGTTGTTTCTAAAAGCAACCATTCCAGTAGTGGGTTTGTGCTGGAAGAGCTGGCTACCACTGCTGGGGCAGGGAAACTGAATGTTGGGTTTGAGCTGGGAGCTTTGGTTTTAGAAAATTACAAAAATATTTGTATTTACCGAATGTAAAAAACCAAGCAATGCTAAGGGCAGGATGTGACAGGGAGGAGGAAAACAGGAGGTGTCAACTTACGGTTCCTGGAGCCCAGCAGGGAGCTCAACACCTTGAGCTTGGCGTTGATGATGTTGCAGCCCTGGGGAAGCAGAGAGGAGTGAGAGGGTCCTGGGACCTGCTGCACCAGTGGGTGACACAGCACCAGCACAGCCAGTGACAGGGGGCTCTGCTGGGCTGCACATGTGGGCAGGGCTGCTGCAGGCAGTGCTGGGGGGAACATCCCATCACACAGGACTCAGCATCCTGTGGGTGAGCGCCCCTCTGAGCCAGCGTGGGTCTCACCTGGGTTAGTGGCTGCTAAACCAGTGCCTGGCTCAGAAATCTGTTTGCCAGCAGAGCCTGGCACAGGTGCTGGTGCTGCCTTTCAGCAGGAGGAGAGGCTGACTGCCCCGCTGAGCTCACAGCTGTGCAAATATCCACATCCATGGGGCAGCCTGGCCTCCTGCCTGCCCTGCCCAAAGCGCTGCCTCCCCACCCAGCACTGGGCATGAAGGTGGCTCTGCACACTCACCAGATCCTTCAGGGTATTGCTGAGCAGGCGTTTCAAAGGCTCTTCCAGAACTGGCACTCTGGGTCTGGTAAAGGAAAATAGGAAATAGCAGGAGACAAAGATTAATGCTGGAAAGTAAGGAGACCTCACACAAGAGAAATGTGAGGCCTTGCTCGCATTGTCAATACTCAGTGCCCAGTGCTAGGTTCCCCACACCCAGAAATGTTCTTTACATAGCCAAAATTTTAGAAGAAGGTCAACAGTTCCCCTCTGAGCCCGACAGCTAGATCACCTTCAAGGCACCAGGCAGAAAGCTGCTGCCATCAATGACCAACAGCGCCAGGGTGTCCCACTGCCACAAGAGCCACGGGCTGGCCATGGGCCACCCGCTCGCACAGATGTTCAATCACGCCTGATTCCTACCTCACATGGGTGTTCATGTCAACAGTCTCACAGTTCAGAGCATTCTGGTGAGGCGTCCACGTGTCCCGGACCAGGATGGTCGCATCCACCTCCACCTGCTGGCACAGCGGCTGGCCCGGCACGCTGCCCAGGGGAAGCACAGCAGGCAGCTCAGGACTCTGCTGACCATCTTCTCTCCAAAGAGATGGTGCCCCCTGCCCCAAGCCATCCCCTGATGGACCTGCCCTACCTGCTCTCTACCAGCAGCTGCGTCTTGAAGTCCACCTGGTGCCCGAAGCCCGGCAGGGAGCGCAGACTGATTTTGGGGAGGGTGTTGTTCACAATTTTCAGTCTGGATGGTTGCAACAAGGAAAAAGGCAGTGAACAGCACATATGCAGAGCCTTGTCCCCCCAGCCCCCAGCACTGCAGCTCTGCTTTTGGGGTCCTCTTCCCCCTGGGTTATCAGGCATCCCCACTAGCCAGGAACAGTTTGTGGGATATACAAGGCACCCTGGCAGAGTTCACTCCCAAGAGATGAACCCCCATTTATGAACCCACCCCAGGAGAGGAGGGAGGGAGGGAGCCCTGTGTGTGCAGGCTCCAGAACAGGACCTCCTTTCCCCAGCATGGCTCAGACACACCAGGCTGCTCAGGGTCACCATCTCCCACTTGCACTCACCCAATGAGTTCTTCACCATTTTTGCCAAGGAGGCTGCCAACGAGACCGTTTCTGCCAAGGAGACCGTTCTTGCCAATGAGAAGGTCAAGGACGGTGTCAAGGAGAGTATCAACAAGGCCATCTTTGCCAAGGAGACCATCAACAACACCACCTTTGCCAAGGATGCCACCCAGGATGCCATCTTGGTCAAGGAGACCACTAACTACACCATCTTGGCCAAGGAGGCCACTTAGGAGACCATCTCCACCAAGAAGACCATTTCCACCAAGGAGACCACCAACAGCACCATTTTCTCCAAGGAGACTGCCAAGGAGACCATCTCCACCAAGCAGACTGCCTAC